GGGGCTGGCTGGAGCACTGGGGTGACTGAGGGGAGCTGGGGCTGTAGGGCTGGCAGGAAGTTGCTGCTGCCTGGGACTGGGACCATGGGGCTGGTGGGTGGCTGCTATCACGGGGAGTTGGGACCATGGGGTTGGCAGGCAGCTGCTGCTGCAAGGAGTTGGGGCCATGGGACTGGCGGGGGGGGGATGGGTGCTAGCTATGTAACAGGTCAGAAGATGGGGCAGAAACTAATGCATCTACACAATAAGTGGGGCTTTCTTCCATAACAATTTTAAAAATATATATTGTTAGTAACTGATGGGTGTCATGGGACTCAAGCACACATAACATGGGTATTGGTGAACAAGACAAAACTCACTATGCTCATAGATGGAAAATCTTAGAGGGAACACTGTAGTGCTCCCCTGCCAACAAAGCACTGTCTACACAGATGCTTTTCATCCACAGAACTTCGGTTATTCAGGGGTATGGGGTGGTTTTTTTTGCAAACCCCTAACTAGAAAAGGGCAGTGTAGACTAGGGATGTTAAATTTAGATTAATTGGGTAATTAGTCAATAAGGGCGCCTCCAACTTCTAAGTGAAGCAACAGCCCCAAGGCTGTTGCTACACTTCAAAGGCGAAAGTGCTATAAGGAGCATGGGGCCAGAGGGGGACTCAAGCAGTCCCCCACTGGCCCTGTGCTCCCCATGGCATTTCAAAGCAGCAGTGCTGCGTGGAGCCCGCGGTCAGCAGGGGAGTCCCCAGCTGACCCCAGGTTCCATGTGGTGCTGCTTTTTGAAACTGTGCATGCAGCCCAAGGGACAGCTGGCCCCAGGTTGCATGCAGTGTTTCAAAGCAGAAGACCCAGGACTCCATGCAGCGCTGCCACTTTGAAAATGCCACGTGCAGTTCCTAGCTGTCCCCAGGCTGCATGTGACGTTTCAAAGCGGCAGTGCCGTGTGGAGCCCAGGGTCTGGTCCCGGGCTCCATGCAGTGCTGCCGCTTTGAAACACCCTCCCACTTCCCTCTCCACCTTTGCTGCCTCTTTCTGATAGAGGCAGCAAGGGTGGGGGAAGCAACTAGTCAACTAGTGTGTCGACTATCCGATAAACATTTGTTTATCGGATAGTCGACTAGTCGTTCACATCCCTAGTGTAGACATAGGCTTACTCACCAGTTCATGATTTTTTAGGTCTCTGTGATAGCCCCTTCCCGCTCCCCCCTCAGCTGTGTCTCTTCCAGGCTGAAAAGTGTCATCCTTTTTAATCTCTCCTCATACGGGAGCTGTTCCATGCCCTTAATCACTTTTATTGGCCTTCTCTACCTTTTCCAATTTACTGTATATTTTAGAGAGTTTGTGCATTTGTCTGAGAGTCTGTTTATTCAAGAACTCCTCCTAAACAGTAAAAGCTAGGACCACCACATTTGGTAGGCAGCTTCCTCGTTTCATGACTAAAATCAAGGACAGGGTTTGGTTGTGCCAGGACAATGGGATGTGCGTGGTAAGTGATTGTTTCTTATCGAACAGAAAGGGAGGGGAATGAGAGCAGGGACAATTATACGCACGAATGACCACTCGGGTGTGGGGGGAGGGAGAGAGCAAGCACCCTAACTCTGGGGAGTAGCTGCTGGCCAGCAGCACAGACCTCACCAACACGGCCTGCCCTGGGCAGCAGCTGCTGTCCCTGGATATCTCTGGCGTGCGGACTGTTCAATGCTCAGTAAGTCGTCTAGTTCTAATATGATTTAGAAGCACTGTTGCTTGAGGCCTTTAGATGCAGAAAGTGCTTCTGGCATTTGCTGTCTGAAACACTAGTAGTGCTACTCTTTTTTAAATCTGCCCTGTGCTCTTTGAGGAAGGTAGAAAATCATGCCATAGTTTGAGTTGTATGTACTAGGTATGTAAACTCACAGGCCAAAAGTATCACCGATTCATCGATGTAACATCTCCCATGTAACTGTTCTTCGTTGGCAGGAGAGCTCCGTCCTGCTGGCAAAATAGAACCACCCCCAACGAGTAGTAGTAGTATGCCAATGTTCCCTCTAAGGTGCACGTCTGTGCACAAACATTTCTGAAGGCCCCCCCCCGCACACAGTCACCCCCCCTCCTTTGCAGAGATGCACAGCAGTACTCATCGTCCTGGACTTGGGAGGGGCGTGGTGTGGCTGCTCCCATGGCTGGGGCTGTGTGGTGGGTGAGGAT